GTAGCCAACCTATTTGTAGCCAACCAATTTCTAGCCAACCAATTTGTAGCCAACCAATTTCGTAGCCAACCTATTTGTAGCCAACCAATTTCGTCGCCAACCTATTTGTAGCCAAAAATGACGTCACCAAACAAATATTTGTTTACTCGCCATTGTTGTATTCTATTTATAATAGAACACAACAATTTGATTTGTCGTCGTCGCAAACCAATTTGTAGCCATTTGTTTACTCGGCATTGTTGTGTTGGTATAAATGACGCTGAAGACCTATTTAAGGAATGACGATATGTGAAAAAAGAGGTTATCAACTATTACAAGTACCAACACCAACAAGGTCAACTGATACTAATAATACTACTCATTCAAGTTATAATACTCATTCGATATATTACGAAAACTGACTTTATGATCGACTTGCAAGGGTGGGGCTGGACGTAGAAAGTTGACTGACCAATAACAGCTGGCCTCTGAACAGCGATGTAAAGAACTAAAACATCAGAACTATTTAACAAAAGAGCAAAAGAAAAACACTGAAAAACGAAGTATTAAATATCAACAGAAATTGATAGACGAAAGGAGCTCCGAAAGGATAGAATATAATTAAATTTCGATGTCAACCTAATGTTCACTCCTAACCAACATTCTCAGTCACACAAAGATGTAACACATTTTCAACAGAAATAATGTTAACGATAAAATAATTCCCAGGGTTAAAACGTAGGATATTCGCTCACGTGCCTTTGAAAGGCGCGGAACCACTAACCGCCTAAGGGTGCTTAACACCGTGGAAGCGGTTGTAACCCTAACGGAGGTTGTATTTTTAACAGCACGTTACTTGGGGTGAATTTCGGATGGCTCGGGGGGGAGCTGTTGTACCACTGAACGGGTAGCAGCTGCTTCTTGTCACAGGCGGTTGCAAGCTATCCTGAACATTCAACACCACGCCCACACAGTCCTCGTTTCGCTCCGATCGACTTTTACCTGCGCAGTGAAATTTAAGAAATTGAATCGTGTACCTGTGACAGAATACTTGATACGGAATGTCAGCAGTTCGACTACCGGCAGAGACTTGGGGCGAGGTGAGATAATTTGACGGCCGAAATCTGATAATGTCTGGGGGGGTCTTATTACCACGTCCATTTCAAGCCCTTAAGGTAAGGTGCTCATGTACAGACATATATTTCCTTCTTAATATACGACCTTTATTACTCTCTGGGTCATTTAAAGACGATCTATCAACAATAGATTTCATTGAGTCGAATGGCACGTCTGTAAATGTTTAAATGGAAGGGATGTGGAAGGAAGTGGCAATGACTAATTTTAAAGCAATAATGACACACAGAGTGGGCCTCAGGAACCTACAAAAAAAAACAGTCTGGACAACCAGTCTCTGATGCGAGGTTCAAACCTCAAATACCCCAAAAAACCTGAACAGAAGCGGGAAACATTAAAAAAACCTACTGTCACAGAAAGAACAACGACGCCGACTGTTACTACCAAGTGAATTAACAGACCAGGTATCATCGCAATACGCGTTATGTCGCTTTTGAGCTGAAAAAATGGCGGCTGTAAAAGAGACGATGTTTGCAGAGCCCTGCCTTACCTTCTAGCTCGTCCGTCTATTCAATTGTTTAAGAGTCCACCCCGTGAGTTACATAATAACAAAGAGGAGACCGGGGGGGGAAAGGTAAAACGAAGAGGAGCGGAAAACGAGAAGAGAAAGAGAGAGAGAGAGAGAGACATTGGATTAAAATGGGAAACTACAAACTAGCTGGACCGGTGTTGTTGCATACAGCGTTGCCACGCCACGCAATGGACGACCATGGCGAGGGGGGGGGAGGAGGAGGAGGAGGATATTTTAACAGAATTATGAACATAAACTTTACCAATTTGTACAAACACGGCTACTGCAGAACAAAGTGAAAACAAGGCTGGACGTGTCCTCGGCTTGTTCCCCCCACCTCCCCGTCACCTGCATTGTCCACGTACGAACGTAACATATGAGAAGACCACACTAAGTTTTCCCCCAGATCATAAAGGCGAAGGGCGCCTTCTAGGAAATGCTTAAGAAGGGTTCGTTTAGCGGGGTGAGAGGGTTGCACTTACCGGTGAGTCCCAGTGAAACCTGGTGACAGCAGCTGTCTTTTTAAATATACAGATTCTAACAGTACTGCTTTCCATGCAAACCATCAGCAGAAATTTCAAATTACCTAAGCAGAACTGAGGGGTTTTTGCAAGCTATCCTGAAATAAATTACTCTCCTATTAGCATGCAAGTTACAACATAACGAGTAAACGAATCAGTAACAGAAGTCAATTACGCTTATGTTCGCCTTACGACAGTAAAATACATTTTTAATAAGAAATGGTAATTATAAAATGACTGGAAATACTGTTGTTTCTGAGAATGGTCTAACGGCTGTTAACAGGATGCTGCGTTGTCTTCCACATAAAGAAACTTATTAACATGTACTTTACAAAGTCTCTTTTAGCACGCAACAATTTACCAACAATCGCCTCGCAAACTAGGTGTCGCATGATTCGCAAATGTAGAATAAACATAGGTTTCGTGGCGACTAAATAACAATTGAGTCTTCACGGGCGCAACAAAAAATCAGCGTTTCAAGATATTATCACTTTTTTTAACTTAATTTGTGTTGCTAAATGGTGAAAATACATCAAAACATCATCCAAACCTAACGGACCTAACAATGATCATCATTTTACATATACGTATCATGCAAAGCCTTGTGTGTGAATAAAAACAAAGCAAACAATAATATTAAAACACTTTTCGACAAATAAATTCCTGTCAAGGGCGTTAATGTACCCAGTGCTTTGATCCATTTCAATAACTTGTGGGGGGGGGGGAGATTCCGAATTTTTTGAGCGCTAAAATGCCGCTTCCAGACCAAGGGCAACGTTATGACGTCATAGTGAGTGAGCGAACACGTGGTCAGCAACAGAAAAGCACGCAGAGAGCAAACTGGGAACGGGTAAAATCAACTGCTTTTAAACTTCAACAGATTTTAAAAAAACAAATATCGGGCAGGTTTGAGACCTGCATTTCTGAGACAAGACGGCTCAAACACACACATGCAGCACGACTTACCTTAGGCGTGTCCGCCGCCTGGACATGACTCTCCGAATGCCGGCGATGTTTGCTTGGTGAAACAGACTGCCGTTTCGGTGGTTTTTCGACGCTAGAAATCGCACTAGCAGACGTTGGCCGGGCCACGGACCGGAACAAGCGTCCTTCTTGACAAACAAGTCCACGAGCAACGGCACGTTTCGCGGAGATCCGTAACAACGATCTAAAATCAACATCCCCGGAGGCAAGATTCACCGCATGAGATTGCCGTATGTATTTCTCGATACTTTTTAAAGTCGATCCGTCTCTTTTACCTAACTCGCGAGTTGCTTTCGCGATCACTTTTGACAGATCCGTCCCTTTGGAAACGTTCAGCTGCCGACTTTGCAGCCCGCCAGGGTCCTTGTACGAACTCTGGCCCTTGTTGAATACTTTAAGCACACTGCCCTCTTTGACAGCCTGCTCTAAATTATCGGCAATCACATCCTCGTTGAAACTGTGATGCTGACGGATCGCATTGCAAATTCTTTCCACAGACGGTCTCTGCTTCTGACTCCGGATCTTGCGAATGGCTTCCAAGATCCATGTGGTCCACGTTGCATGGCTCACCGGTTCTTGATCTCTCATGATCACGACTACTTCTATTCGCTGGAAATAATAGTAAAATTACGTCACTGTGTTGCTCACATTTCCTATCCACCGTTCAAAAACATCACTGCACTATACACGTTCACATATTTTCCCCTCATTCTGTGACAGGCTCCGGGCGGGAACACATGACAACGGAGTCCCGCCTTTCGCCTCGTCCCGTTCTTCTTTCACTTAACCTTAATGAAGGCAACAAACAAGCATCTGAAAAGGAAAAAATACAATGCATTTTAGAAATCAATAATAAAATAAAATCACACCTGCATTAATTAAAAAATTCAACGATCCCAACACAAAAAATAGCTGGACATTCTGTACCTGCAACCAAAATAAAATCAGGGCACTGAGAGCGATGTACGTCAACTACTGCATTACTCGTATGTAAAATATGTATAAACACTAAACACAACTGTTGCAATGAGCGTTTCTTTACATATATTTCTCAAAGAAAAATATTTAATATCCATCGCACAAAACAGTGGAACTTAAAAACGCTATTTGCACCACATGTAGATAAAACGTGTCTTTACTGTACAACGTCGTAACTCGACTCAACAACAACGCACAAAGTACCGCGGATCTCCCCGTCCCACTGCCCAGGGAGCGTCAGCATTCTTCGGTATGTCCGCACCCCCTAGCCCGTTCCCCTTAGCCGAGACACAGCTGCCGCGACCACATTTAATAACCTCAATTTTACAGAAAATAACAACAAATACACAACACTACACTCCATAGCGCGATTAAGTAGAGTTTTAACATTAATATCATAACCAAGCGACATCGATTGCATCACTCATACGCAACCATTTTGAAATTCATAAGAAGCTCGTATAATAACCAATGTCCAAATTCCCGTCGGGCAGCCATCTTGGGCGGTTTTACAGATTCTAAATTCAGGTCAATTCTTTCACTGTAGAACCAAGGCAGCAACGTCACAGAACATCAATATCAATCACTAGACATTGGCGATACCCGATGTGACATATCGAATGCTGACGACACAGCTATCAATTATATAAATGCGTCCGAACACAGAGCTTGCACACACACCCGTACGCGCCAACGAAACTGCTCAGTCTACGCTTAGCGTGCATGAAAAAACAAATTTCTCACTTCCCACATCACTCTTGTACTATATCAAGCTTACCTTAAGTGCTGTATCGTTCTCTTACAATATTTACAGGTTTATTAGATTCCACAAACAATGTCTAACAACATTAATTACAGTAATAGACTGAAACACGACAACATATCACCGAATCAACAAAGGTTTACACTTCTGACAAGATGGCTACCGCGCATCCATACAGCAACGTAGCCTATGGCGTAAAGGAGAATCTAAAGTTCGATCTGTGGCGGTAACATCGTTTAAACGTGAACTTCTTCTTCATCTATTCCTCAATATTTTAAATTTAAAGTACTTACATGACCTGCATTATACGTGGTAATTGTGTAATAGTATCCGCAAACAATTATATTACATAACTAAATTCTTATCTCTATTTCCCCAATCATAAGTGGCATAATAAAATCTTTTGGCGGGTGATCAACGACACAAAAATAAACATGGTACGCTTAATTTCATTGGCTTCTAAGGTTTCATTACACATTATCATTGGATAAATTCCTCTAATCGGTGTGAAGTGGCTAGGTATGTGTGTTTGATACAGCCTGTGGGACATAAAAGAATTTTGCCCATTGGTTCAATGTGTTGAAATATGATATGAAATGTTTCATATGCACAGACGAAAGAAAAACAATAACTCATTACCTGATAAATTGAGTGATAAAATTCAAGACCTCAACTCTCCAGACATTATAACGGACCACAACAAACAGCATATAACTTTCAAAATAATATTATCTTTTTTAATAATTGAGAGTTGGTGTATCGACGGCTACAATATATGTTTCATTATGATTAAATAGTACGTCAGTACAAGTCAGACAGGCGTATCACTGACAGTATCAGTCAATGCCAAACAGGGCAGCAACTACGAAAAAAAGAGGTAAATACCTGAACAAAAGATCACTCCTGTACTTCATTATAACCTGCTTAATACACTTGTCCAATTCGAAGTCATAGCACGGACATGCTTTTTTTTAAAGACTACTGCTGACATCTATTAGGCGAACTATAAACCGCTTGCATCGTCACTTTTACCAAGAAGTACAGCCTGTACTTATTAATACATGCCACGTTTGAAGACTCCATGTTGTCTAATATACAGAAGCCCCATTTCTACATAGCAAGTATATACATCTAAGCAGGGCAGCGATTTCATAAATTCTGTTTGTTATTACTGCTAGTGGAAATGTCTCTGTAGAATGTGCATCTAACTGGTCCTTTGCATGCAGAGCAATGGTGGAATCCATTCATTTTTTACCTTGGCACTATACGACGCGAGTGATCAGCTTTATTCGTTATCAATTTTATACCAGCCGAGAAAATCTCCTGTACTCTTTGGTAGAGAGGATCTGGACACAACAGTTTAAGTAAAATGAAGTTCCATTTTAATATTATCGTCACAAGTTGTCTGTTTGTTTGACTTCAAACGAAATCATTCCTCAGCTCAATTGTAGAAATGCTTAGTTATGTCATAACGATAAACCCCCCCCCCCTTCCCAGTTTCGTAATATTAGACTCGTCTCCACGGCAACAAATGCTGATCAACACTGTCTTGTCGAGTGTGCTCGACCTAACGGGGTGTGTGTACATTTTACTGCGAATCTTAATCCTGTCTTGTTTAGTCTATCCCATTTTGACTAGCCTATCAGCGGTCTTAAAAATGTAACATGTAGTAGCAGGAAGCACATATAAACAGAGCTCAAGAAATACAAGCAAATTTCACCAGCCGCTCCAGAAGACTGTCGCTTGTAATGTAACAACAATCTGCTTTAAAAATGTTAAATTAGGTCAATGCCACTCGCCTTTGATAATTTGTTTCAGTGAAAATAAATATTTACGTTACCACAGGTACGTCAACAGTATAATTTTATATTGTTGGCATAATTTTAAACAGTGCATTCATCCGGTTATCTAAATTAAACTATATGCAATTTAATAACAAATAATACAAATTTAGATTAAGTTAAAATTAAATGTGTACTTTTGACTTCCCGCCATTCTTGATGAACAATGTACTAGTTACATTCCACTGATTTTTAAACTTGCAGTGCTTGAAAGAGGAATCTGAACAGGGTTTAAAATGCAAATACAAATTGGTGGTAATGATAGGGACAGTCTCCTAGAATAAAAAAAAAAGTTTGTCAGAAGTGGGATTCGAACCCACGCCCACAGAAGTGGACTGCGACCTGAACGCAGCGCCTTAGACCGCTCGGCCATCCTGACATGTAAACATATTGTCGCAAAGGTAAAACTTCAATGCATTACCATTAGAGTCCTATTTCTTCTTTTATTGGGATACTTTTTGTCCCGTTAATAAACATAAATTAAACGCATTGAAAAATAAAATGAAACCTCCCTATTGATGCAGAAACTTCTCTAACACGCTTTGCTTACGAATCTCGCACACAGCAATCTGTTGTTAAAATGTTTTCCTATGACATTCCAACGTGATTAAGAGACCCATGCTCTTAATTTATACTAAAAAATATATATAAAAATATTCCCGGGATTGTTTCAAGAGAAACATTTTGTAATTATCATTTTCTCTACGACACTCCGTGCCTAGTTTCCGAAACAAAAGAAGAAGAGTTGTTTTTTCAATAGAAATATATTTTATCTCTGTCATGTTCTCCTACTGTGCACCGTTTGGAAGAAAAATGGTGAGACCAACATTGTTAGAAGAATATATGAAATAGATGACGCTAGAAATAAATGCATTTTTATCGCAAGACTTTAAGAGAACAGACATACGACAGTGGAGAACAAAATGTAGACGGAAGAATTATATTCAAATCGAAACTTGCTAAAATGAGGTGAGAATATGAATCTACTTCATGATATAGCGTCCAAGACTTCTATAACTTACAGTGTTTAATTAGAAGCAACATAATTTACGTTTGTGATAATTTCGCTTCTATCCTTCGAGGACTTCCGTGCCTCCACATGAGACCTTTGTCTCCTTTACAAAACTCGAAAGTAGCTACATCCTTCCCTTCTTCTAACATAAACATTGTCTGTAAATCTTTCTGGTCACGTTCAATATTTCTTTCCAGCCTTATTTGAGTTCAGAAAAAACTGAGCAGTCAATTCCCTTGGCAAAATTTTGTTGCGTGCGGGAGGAGGAGTTCAAGAGAGTTTGATCGTTGTCTGTCGTCGTACTGAATGCCAATACGTCCGAGGGAAACTTCTGCCCGGAAGAGATCTGGCTCCAGAGACTCTAGAAATTCAATAACGTCCCTACGATGTAACAAGCGGTAGATCGGTACACAAATAAGATTCTGTCTTCGTCAGTCTCTGGGGCAAAATTCTCAAACATCACAGAAATAAGCGAACTATTTGGCATTAAAACATTTTATCCTCGCCATATCAACTAAGAATATTATTTAGGAAATAACATATTAAAGGATATGCCTGTCGTCTGGGTTCAGGATAATAAAACACTCTGATGATGTAGGCAGTGAGATCCTCTGAAACGCAGGGCAGTATCTTCAGACTACATTGTCCTACATCGAAGGGACACAGTGCCTCCATCTTCAAGTCGAGGAACAGACAATCCTGACACGACTTTCAGGCACATAAGAGGATGAAATCTTAAATCCCCTACACCTCTCTCTACTCATCATTCACAGTCATATTACCACGTCTCATTCGGTGCTCTGTATCTTTAACAGTTGATATGGCGTAATAAATTAGCATAAAGACCATCGAAACAGTCAGCCGTTGTTCTTCAATGGTTTACGAACGAGAATGGTGTAGAATATGCAATTAGAAATTTTAGGTGACAACGCAGCGCAAAATCCTAGAAAACAATCATTTTAACATTCTTAAATTAAGACCTTCCTGAACAAAGAACTATATAAGACATTATAATTCCCCGATTTCACTCGAAACTTATAAGAGTACGGCTTAAAATGCATAAAAAAGTTTAAAAATCCCACGTTAGGTTAGGTTAGGTTACACTCACTCAGACCATTTACGAGAATCGGCGAAACTTGTCTTAAAGTGGGCACCAAATATTCTTTCAAACTCTTTTTTTCCCCCCCCCCCCCACAAGATTTTCAAGCTTGCCGCAAATTTTTATAATAAATTGTACATTCGCACGTCATAAAAAAGGGGACAATTTCTTATCTTTTGTAATTAAAACTTGTAATACAAAAACACATTGGTTCATCATCCATAGTTTCTTTTGACAAATCAGAGCGTTTCGCGATAAAAAAAAAGTTGAGGAACGCTGCTTACTGGCCAATCAGCGAACGCAGTGCGCTCGCCGGACCTGCACTGTTTTTGTCGTGCAATTAATTACTTTTCCACTGACTAATTATTGCCATTACATTATATACTAAGCCTCCGAGCACACGGCTCACTAAATCAATAGGAACGAACGTCACAGAGCAGGTCAGTTTATGTTTTGACGTCATATTTACTGTTCATTTTCAAGCGACGATTGATTGACGGTAGGTTAGGTTAATGACGCACGTGGGAGGGTGTATATTATTATTGTAGGGCATCTTTAAGAGGAGTGACCAATTGGGGGATTTAGGAGCGGACAGGAGGATAATATTAAAAAGAATCTTTAAGAAACGGGTGGAGAGGTGTGAAGGGAAAGTAGACAATAAATCTTTTCTAAATGTGACGAAGTTTCGTGCATGGGGGGATATATAAATGAATGGAGAATTTTGGTCGGAATTCCTTAAAGGGAGAGA